TAATTCTGCAATAACAGTGCATCAATGCATCCAATATTCTAAACCTGGTGTACCAATCTATTAACTGTGAGAGCTATTAAATAATTCTGATCAATGCAATTCAAGTATAGAGAAAACTTCAATAGAGAAGTGAATCAGGAGGAGGAGGAGAAAGTTTTGACTTTCAACAGGGGAAGGAATCAAGGGTCACATACTTTCAATATTGGAAGGGGGATACTAGTCTGCTTGTTCAACTTTAAATAAAACACTGACAAAAGTAAATGAGACCAGTACATTTATTTCAGAATCCACTTAGTAACAGAATGTATTGCAGATGAAGGTTAACTTCAGAAATGCATGAGAAAAGTGAGTTCAGTCTAGTTTCAAAGTAATTTGTGCTCCTGGCATTAGGGGCATCTAGAGTCATTTCACATTGAGTAGTATGCTAGCCAGAAAAAAAAGGGGAAAAAAGTTGGGTTAATGATTAAGGTCTTGAAGAGCAAGATTCGCACGCTCAGGAAGGAGAGATCAAGTCTGGAGTGAAACACAGCCTGTTCGATTGTATAGTTCAGAGACTAGGATGCAGCATGGGAATTTGGTGCAGAGGGACAGAGGTGCTTTTTGCTTGCTTTTTCAGCTCATAATTTTTTATTAAAACCAGGATAAATTGAAGCCAAGAACTGGGGGCCCAATACAAAAGAATGGCAGAGGACAACCAAGTTCATTGGTTGGTAATAGCTACTAATATGACTATAATGGAATAACTTCAGATTGATGGCTAATAGGAGAAATATTTATAGATTACAAACTAAAAGACCAAAAACTAAAATAAGCAACTATAAGAGAGATGCAGGGCCAGGTAATGTGTTGTACTTGCATGATGTGGGAGCTGGTGGACCCAATTGTGGTTCATAGTAACCACGTATGGAGCAAAGATTGATTGCATGAACTCTGGCTCAAAGTTGATGAGCAAGAGTCTGAGCTTCAAACACCACAACATGGGGGGGGGGGGGGGGGGGGGAGGGAGGAGTGAGAGAAGAAATTACCTGGATGCTGTGTTTCATAGTGCAGTCACACCCCTTAAATTAACTACCTTGAATTCAGTTTGTGGTCAGGGACAGGAATGTGTGACCATGAGCAAGGCAGGTAGTGCTGAAGGAGCCTCATCCCTTGAGCTTATCTGACAGGTTTGAGATTCTTACTCCCTGCATGGATTGGGGTGGAAGTGGGGGGCTCTGGGGAGGATAAGCAAATTGACCACAGCATCAGAATGCAGAGAGACATTCAGGAAGTGGGGAGAAAAGAGAAATGTAAATGTATATTTAAGGGTGCAAATACTGTTCTCTCTGGCCAGAATTGACAGTCCCAAAGCACATGCTGTCTGCCTGATGCCCAGGTTCATGATTTCTCACCTGGGCTGCAGAAGACCTGAGAGTGGAAGAGAAAGATCCAGTTGTTGTGGTCCAGGTAGCAATGACATAGACAGAAAAAGGAGAGGTTCTGTTGAGGGAGTATGAGCAGGTAGGGTCTAGCTTTAAAAAGCAGAATCAAAAAGGAAAGAAACTCCAGATTACTACCTGAGCTACAAGCTAATTGGCACATGGAAACCAACATTAAACAGTAACGTGTGGTTCAAAGATTGGTGTAGGAGAAGTGGTTTCGAATTCATGAGGCATTAGCACCAGTACTGGGGAAGGATGGAACTGTTTTGATGGGACAGGTTCCACCTGAATCAAGCTGGGATTAGAGTCCTGGCAAATCACATAAATAGGTCTATAGATAGGGCTTTAAAATAAAGTGGCAAGGTGGGTTCAGTTGCTTGGAAAATTACAAAATCAAATGTAAAGGAGGAGGATTGCTAGTTAATGGTGGGGTGGATTGTTACCAGAAAATAAAAGGAAGGGACAAACTTTGAGAACATACCAAGGAATCATAGAAGTATAGGAAAACTCATTAAAAGAACAAACTTAAAGGCTTTGCATCTTAATTTGGAATAAGGCAGACTGACTGATGACAATTCATAGTAAATCACATCACAAGGACTTTAAACTACTTGATCAAAGGGCATGCTCAGGATACATTAAAGATTCAAGAACAAGTAATAGGACACAGTATGGAAAGGGTCAGAATTCTAACTTCAGGCACAGCAGATAAGTGGACTGCTATATGAAAGGGCAGCTGTCAACACAGGACTGAGGATGTTGAACTGAAGAGTGTGCAGCATACAAAGCAAGACAAATTAGGTGTAGGGGAGACTGAAGTTGATGGATACAATGCTTTGGGCATCAGAGTTGTGGGTGTAAGGAGATCACAGCTGGGACCTAAACATGGAAGGATAGGCCTCCTATTGAATTGACAGGCAGATGGGCAGAGGGGGCAGGGTTGCCCAGTTACTCAAATTAAATTAGAATCAATAGCAAGAAGCAATACAGGGTTGGAAAGCATAGAATGTGTGGGAAGAGTTGAGGAACTAAAAAGGAAAAAGATTCTGATGGGAGTTGTGCACAGGTCTCCTAGCAGTAGTCAGGATGTGGGGAAGAAAATAAAGTAGAAGATAGAAAAGGCGTGCAAGAAATGCACTATTACAATAATCACGAGGGACTTAAATATGTAGATATACTGGGAAAAATCAGGTTGGTAGTGTATCCCAAGACAGGGAATTTGTGGAATGTCCACGAGATGGTTTTTGCAGTAGCTTGTGGTAGGGCCCATGAGACAACAGGCAATGTTGGATTTGGTGATGTGTAATGTGGCAGACTTGATGAGGTGAAGGAACCCCAGGGACTAGTGGCCATAATATAGTAGGATGCACTCTTCAGTTTGAGAGGGAGAAGTCTGAATTAGATCTAATAGTATTATAACAAGTAAAGGTAACTACAAAGACACGAGGGGGGAGTTAGCCAAAGTTGATTTGAAGGGGAGCCTAGTGGGGAAGACAGTGGAGCAGCAACGCCTGGAGTTTCTGGGGGTAATTTGGGAGACATTAAAGTTCATCCCAAGGGAAAAGAAACATACTAAAAGGAGAACAAGGCAACCATGGCTGACAAGGGAAGTTAGGAACAACATAATTGCATTAGACACAATGTGGTGAAGATTAGTGGGGAGCCAGAGGAATGGAAAGCCTTTAAAAACTAGCAGAGATCAACTAAAAAAAAAAGCAATAAAGGGAGGCAAGAGTTGTTTTACACATATAAAAACGTAAGAGAACCAAATGCAAGAATTGGACTGCTGGAAAATGAGGCTAGAGTAGTAGTCATGGGGAAAAAAAATTGACAGGAACCGTACAGGTACTCTGCAATCTTCACAGTGGAAGAACCAGTAGCATACCAGAACTTCAAGAGAGTCAGTGGACAGAGAAAGTGTTGTGACCATCACTAAGAAGGTGTTGCTACAGAAGCTGAAAAGTCTGGAGGTGGATAAATCACCTGGATTGGATGGACTACACTCGAGTTTGGAGGAAATAGCTGAGGAGACTGTAGAGACTTTGGTGGTGATCTTTCAGGAATCAATGAATTCAGGGAGGGTCCAAGAGGAGTGGAAAATGGCTAATGCAACACATCTAAATAGGGAAGGGGGCAGAAGATGGGAAATTATAGGCTAGTTTGCTTGACCTTGTTCATTGATAAGATCTTAAAGTCAATTATAATGATTAGATTGCAGGGTGCTTGGAAGGGCGTGGTAAAATAGGGCTGAGTTAGCACGGCTTCATCAAAGGGAGGTCAAGTCTGAAACCTGATAGAATTCTTTGAGGTGGTAATGAGCAGGTTACAGAACGGACAGCCAGCAGATAGAACATAGAAAAGTACAGCACAGTACAGGCCCTTCGGCCCACGATGTTGTGCCGACCTATTATCCTACTAAGATCAATCTACCTTGCATACTCTACGTTTTACTATCCTCCATGTGCCTATCCAAGAGTCGCTTCAAAGTCTCTAAAGTATCTGACTCCACTACTACTGCTGGCAGCGCATCCCACACGCCCACCACTCTGAAGAACCAACCTCTGACATCTCCCCTATACCTTCCACCAATCACCTTAAATTATGCCCCCTCGTAATAGTCATTTCCGCCCTGGGAAGAAGTCTGTGACTATCCACTCTATGCCTCTCAATCTATGCCTCTCATCATCTTGTACACCTCTGTCAAGTCACCTCTCATCATTCCTCACTCCAATGAAAAAAGCCCTAGCTCCCGCAACCTTTCCTCATAAGGCCTGCCCTCCAATCCAGGCAGCATGCTGGTAAATCTCCTCTGCACCCTCTCTAAAGCTTCCACATTCTTCCTATAATGAGGTGACCAGAACTGAACACAATATTCCAAGTGTGGTCTAACCAGAGTTTTATAGAGTTGCAGCATAACCTCACGGCTCTTAAACTCAACTCCTCTGCCAATGAAAGCCAACACACCATACGCCTTCTTTACAACCCTATCATATTGGGTAGCAACTTTGGGGCTTCTATGGACGTGGACCCAAAGATCCCTCTGTTCCTCCACACTGCCAAGAATCCTGCACTCAAATTCGACCTTCCAAAATGAATCACTTCACACTTTTCTGGGTTAATTCCATCTGCCAGTTCTTTGCCCAGCTCTGCATCCTGTCAATGTCCCATTGCAACCTACAACAGCCCACAACTCCACCAACCTTCATGACATCTGCAAACTTACTAACCCACCCTTCCACTTCCTCATCCAAGTCATTTATGAAGATCACAAAGAGCAGAAGTTCCAGGACAGATCCCGGCGGATCACCACTGGTCACTGAGCTTCAGGCTGAATACTTTCCATCTGCTACCACCCTCCGTCTTCTATTGAACAGCCAGTTTTGTATCCAGACAGCCAAATTTCCCCGAATCCCATGCCTCCTTACTTTCTGAATCAGCTTACAATGTGGAATCTTATCAAATGCCTTGCTAAAATCCATATACACCACATCCACTGCTCTACCGCTATCAATGTGTTTTATCAGATCCTAAAGAATTCTATAAGGCTTGTGAAGCATGACCTGCCCCTCACAAAGCCATGTTATTTCTAATCAAACTATGCCTTTCCAAATAAGCAGAATCCTCTCCAATAATTTGCCCACCACAGAAGTAAGACTGACCGGTCTGTAATTTCCAGGATTATCCCTACTCCCTTTCTTGAACAAGGGAATGACATTTTCCACCCTCCAATCTTCTGGTATTACTCCACTGGAGAGTGAGGACGCAAAGATCATTGCCAAAGGGGCAGCAATCTCTTCCCTCGCTTCCCTTAGAAACCTTGGGTATATCCCATCTGGCCCAGGGGTCTTATCTATCCAAACCATCCAACTTACCTAACCTTACCTCATCTTATTTTAAAAGATAAAGGACAAAAACATTGAATCTTTATTTTATCCATGTCTGTTATAAGTTTGTAAACTTCTATCAGGTTGCCCCCTCATTCTTCAACATTCAAGCGAAACCAAATCAGGTCTGTCCAATTTCTCCTTGTAGCTAACAACATCCTGGTAAACCCAAAGCTTCCACAACCTTCTGAGAGTGTGGCAACCAGAACTGTGCACAATATTCCAAATGTGACAGAACTAAAGTTCAAACAATTGTAACATGACTTGCCATTTTCACATTGCGCCCTGACCAATGAAGGCAAGCATGTCATACGTCTTCTTGACCATCTTACCAAGATGTGTCGTCAATTTCAGGGAACTGTAGACCTGTACACCTAGATTACTCTACTCAGGATTTTGCCACCTACATTCCCCTTCAAATCATTTATATACGTTACAAACAATAGGGGTCCCAGCCCTGATACCTGCAGAGAACCACTGGTTAAAAATCTCCAGTCAGAAAAACATCCTTTTACTGCTAACTTCTGTTTTCTATGACTAAGCCAGTTCTGCATTCGTCTTACCAGCTCAGTACAGATCCCATGCGACTTCACCTCTTGTATCAGCCTGCCATGTGGGACTTTGTCAAAGGCCTTGCTGAAATCCATATAGACATCTACTGCCCTGCCCTCATGAATCATCAAGTTTGCGAAACACAACCTCCTCCACTCAGTTATGCTGTCTATCACTTCTAAGTCCATAATTTTACAAATGCGAGTAAATCCTATCCCTAAGAATCTTTTTCAATAATTTCCCTACCACTGATTTAAGGACCATCAATTTGCAGTTGCCTCGATTCCGCTGTTAAATAGATGTGATCTGTTTGGATTTCAAGAAAGCCTTTGTCAAAGTGCCACACAGAAGCCCACTTAATAAGAGCTCATGGGGTTAGGTGTAAGGTACTGGCATGGATAGAGGATTGGATGACCATCAGAAGTGGAGTTTCACAGGGTTCAATTTTGGGACCACAACTATTCACATTATATATTAACAATCTGGACAAAGGAACTGAGGGCATTGTTGCTAAGTTTGCAGATGACCAAGATAAGTTAAAGGACAGGTCATATTGAGGTGGTAGGCAAGCTACAAGAGGACTTGCACATGGTGAAGAGGGGGCGAAGAAGTGCCAGATAGAATACAATGAGGTTATCCACTTTGGTAGAAGAGGCGTAGACTATTTTCTAAATGGGGAAAGGCTTCGGAAATCTGAAGCACAAAACAAATTAGGAATCCTATTTCAGGATTTTCTTAAGGTTAACATGCAGATTAAAGTTGGCAGTTAGGAAGGCACATGCATTCATTTTGAGACAACTTGAATACAAGTACATGGATGTGCTGCTGAGGCTGTATTAGGCTCTGGGTCATACCTCATTTGGAATACTGAGAGCAGTTTTGACCTCCATATCCAAGGAAGGATTTGCTGGTCTTGGAAGGGGGCCAGAGGAGGGTCACAAGAATGATCCCAGGGATGAACTGCTCATCACAAGGAGCAGTTTCTGTAACCCCTACCTCCAACAATTACTATTTCTCTCTCTTTGGGCTCTATCTCCATCTGTCATTTACTCCTGAACCAAAATTACCACCCACTCAAACCCTGTCTTCTGCATAAAAACAACTTTTTCCCAGCTAGCATCAGCTCTGAAGAAGGGTCATTGGACCTGAAACGTTAACTGTTTTCTCTGCACATGTTGCAAATGTGCATTGAAGGCCCCTTTTATGAATATTGCCACAAGAGATTTAATTGTATGAAATGTCATGTTATACTCAACTAAGACATTAATATTAATGCAGGATATTTATAAAACACATGATAGATTTGATCCTCAACTTTGTAAATAGTCCTTTACTCATTAGAGAAGAGGTACTGGACTAAAAGAACTGCAGATGCTGGAAATCAGAAACAAAAACACGTATCACTGGAAAAGCTCAGGTCTGGCAGCAACTGAGAAGTTCTGTGGAAGGGTCACTGGACCCGAAACATTAACACTGTTTTTTCCTTTCACAGATGCTGCCAGACCTGCTGAGCTTCTCCAGCAACTTTGTTTTTGCTCCTGATTTACAGCATCCGCAGTTCTTTCAGTTTTTATCCTGATGATCAAGGCCAATGGCAAAAATCAGCAAAATTTCACTGGTGATAGCATAAAAGCTAGAATCGAAGAGACAACAGCTGCTCAAAGGTGGAGATACCTTTTCTAGAAGAGTAGCTTCCTTTGAGCACACATGAAGGCAGCAACGCGAAATCAACTCATTTCCTTTTCCTAGTCATTTTGCCCATTGAAAATGGAGACACCAACAAGAGGAAAGTGGAAGACTGAAGCATGGGAAATGCCTAGAGGATTTGTCCTTAAGGAGGTCATTACTAAAATGAAGCAGTGATCTTGGGCACAAACAGAACTTAGCTTAAATCGTGCCCTGAAACTTCTTACACCAAACCAACAGGACGTGCTGTAATGCTTTAACTGAATGACTGCACCTCCGACTATACTGCATTCGCAATACTGAACCAAGTGCCAAAAAGATTAAAAAACCAAATTGTGGAGAAACTCAGCAAGTCTGACAGCATCTAATGATAGAGAAAGCAGACTAAAACTCAAGTTAATCCAATTTGCTTTTACTGCCCGAATTCCCTTTAAAAAGAAGTCCTTTCTCGGGAACATTGGCATTAAAATTATGACTAAACTTTTACCGAACTACAAATTATACAGAATCAAATCATCCGGTGACCTAACTTTCCTGACCCCTGTCCCACTCGAGGTCTTGCCGTGCACCTCGCAATCATAGGGCTGCCCCGACAGAGATGGAGGGCCCCCAGGGACTGACAGGGCGACGACTGTCCCAAATTACAGCCAAGTGTGAATGGCTTAAAAAGCGGATGAACAGATGGCTTTCATTTTGTGAGACACAAGCCGGGAAGGCTGTGTCGGGGCTGCAGCTGACCTTCTCTCACGGTCCTGCACAAAAAAAACAAAGTTTATTCTTACCAAGCAGCGGCGATTCGTCCGGACACCTGCTTAAAGTTTGCCTGTCTGGGCTCGGGGTCACCAAGCTGAGGTTGGTGTAAACATCGTGAGTTTTGGAGTAATCCCAGTGACCGCCGCGATCCTCTTCATACAAGGAGCTGGTGAAGGAGCCGGAGAGGCTCCGGCGGTACAGGAACAGGACGAAAGCCAACTGGAGGAAACCTAGCAGGAGCAGAGTGCAGGGCCGGTTCGGGGAGCATCGGCGGCTCATCCTCCCCACCGCTAACAGTGAATACACACAGAGCAGGCTTTTACTGCCCAGCTTCACATCGACAACCCATCCTGGTGTCCGCCCGCTTCCCCACCCAGTGCGATGGACAAATAAAGTCGCAGGGATGCAGCACGAAACAACATGACGGAGCCAGCGGACAAACGAGGTCGAACCCTCCCAGCTGCCGAAACCACAAAACCAGGCACTTGGCAGTGAGTAACCGCTGCAGGAACTAAAACACCCCTCGCACCTGCGCACTGTCCTGAGGTAGGCGGCTACCTACCCCCTAGCCTTGCACCTGCGCAATGCCCCGCGACCGTTAACTCCCCAATCCCGCACCTGCGCACTGTCCCGAGAGGACTGGTCACCTATGCCTCGAGCCCAACGGTGTGAGCGGGCAGGATTATACAGAAGTCAGCCCTGCACCCGCGCAATGCCTTCACAGAGCTGACCCTGTTGGCTGTGATCGGCTCAGCCTTGTCTTGCTCCCAAGGAGTCATCGGGCCAGTTGTGTATTTGATGGGTTCTCTAGCCAGAACCCTGAATTAACAGTTGAGTCCTAGATGTTGATAGAATAGTTGAATATTTACAACCATTTCTGTTCTTGGTCAAAATTCACACGACACTAGGTTATAGTCCAACAGGTTTATTTGAAAACATAAGCTTTCGGAGCTTCGCTCCTTTTTCAGTGAGAGGTGGTATCAGACACAGAATTTATAAGTAAAAGATTAAATGGATTGAACAAACGTAAGATGGCTGTTAAATCTTTAATCAGTTAGAAAAGAGATGGCAGATTTTGGTTGTTAATATGCAAATCCCAGAATTTCTTTCAAGTCACCTGCCCTGAGATAATTAAAGGTTTTAATAGTATACCAGAGGTGACATCTCAGGTCAGACAATGCATTTTAGGTGTTAGGCCTTGTGTAGAATCTGTCTGTGTTTTAACTTGGACTGAGACTGGTTTTATTTCCAAAGTAGGAATTTATAAAATGCCACATTGACTTTCTACAAATTGTGTGCCTTTTGAACGAAATAGAATGTACCTGCACTTACAAATCTGCAAATGCAAATTCACCCCATAGATTTATATGTTGGATATATGTGTGCGTGTGTGTGTGCATGAGAAAGGGTCTGAGTGTGTGTGTGTATATATGACCTTTGGATCTTTTGCTTACAAATTCTGTATCTGATGCCACCTCTGTCACTTTGCTTTTTGAGGCAGTGGTGCAGATGTGGGGGGAATGGTCCAGGATAACTGGGTTTGGTGGCAAAGCGTGATTAAGAGCTAGAATGGCCAGAGTTACAATCTTATATGTGTTAAATTTCTCAATTGTGTTCATTTCAGATCAGTGGAAGAGCAATTCAGATAGTCACATTCAACTTTGCATTTACTTTTTTTCTTCAGGTGCATGTCTAATTCTGTTTAGAAGTCTGTGAATGACTGTTCTGCGGTATGTTCTCACGAGGTGCCAGGTCCTAAACACTCTGCATGAAATGCCTTTTCTTTACATAGTTGTTCATTTTATAAAGCTCAATAATCAGTGTCTTCGGCTGCTTGACCCTTTGGCCAATGGAAACAGTTTCTTCCTATAACCACTCTGCCCACGTGAAATTAAAGACAAAATTAAAGATTCAATGGAATCTCATAATTTGCTTTATTTAGCTTCTGTAATTTATCAGTGTAACTGAAAAGCCCATTCTGGAACCGTTCTCAAAACAATCTTTCCTGCAACTTCATTAAATCCTTAACCTTTTTTCTGAAGAGCTCAGAATTGGGCACAATACATCTGTCAAAATTTAACTTGTGTTTTATAAAGTTTCATCATATTTTCTTGCTTTTTATTTATTTCAATACTCCTTTAGAAATGTATCCTTTATTTTACACAATGGTTCAAGAAGGCAGCTCACCATTATCCCCTCAAGGGCTCATTTGGGGTGGGCAATATGTGCTGGCCTAACCCTGGATGTTTACATCCTGTGAAATAATTTAAAAATTGCAATTCCTCAATCTTCGCACCAAAATGCACAACTTCTCTGTATTAAATCCTCTAGAGGCTTCTCACCTTCTCCCCATAAGTCTCCCATTGCACCTCCCCTGCCAAAACCCATTTATACAGGTTTAGAATCAGGGAAATTTTCAAGCACCACAATAGAGTCACTATTACACCTCACTGGGGTAGCGTGTTGAAAATCAAGCCCCACTATTCTGTCAACCTGAGTCTAAAAGATGGATAATTTGGGGAATTCTGCAGATAACTATTTTAGATATCTTTAATTTTTGTAACTACATAGCTTCTTCCAATTAGAAAAATATTCACCACAACTCACTGTTTTGTGTCACTTTGCTAACTATGTTCATGTTGCTACAGTCCTTTTTATTCCACAGGCTTCAACATTACTGAGAAATCTGATGTGTTTTTTTGGGAGTTGTTACAAAAGATGAAGATATCTACAAAAAAAGTCTGCAGAATTCATCAATTTACCTGTCTCTTTGACATATGTTGACAGAAAACACGGATAAGGTACTTAACAATAATGACTGTTTATTCCAGATAAATAGAGTCTCGCTATATGTAAACAATTATGAACTATCAGTATATAACTACTAGTTAGAACTCTACCTGTAAAGAAAATGGCTGTCATGGGCAGACGGAAAGACTGTGAAGGCAGTTCAGTGGTCCCTGTGTACAGGGTCTGCTAAGCTAGTCCTTTTTGTCTTGTCAGAACGTGCTGTTCCTTGATTTTCCTTCTCTAGATATGTTCAGTTGTTTGTGGAAAGTACAGGGAGGATGGTTCACCTTGTAAAGTCTCTGGCTTACTGGTTAAGAGCCAGAGCTTAAAGTAGCTGTTGAGGCGAGAAAAGAAACTGGCTATCTTTCAGGCTTGAGATGCGTTTTACTGCTGAGCAAAACAGCTTTTTCTCCTCCAGAGGTCTAACAGTTCCTGCCAAAATATTTACAGTCTCAAATTGGGAGCCTATCACATAGTTGTTGGCAGACAGAATACTTTTGTCAGCAATCATTGGTCACTAGTCCATAGACCAGTTGTCTACATGCTGCCAGCGAATCCTGTCTACTTTTTCACAGTTCACAATCATCCAAGATTTGTGCCATTGCAAATTTTGAAAAAGGCCCTTTGCACCCAAGACAATAACTATAAAGAAAAGCTTTGGTTCTATCACTGATCCCTGCTGAAACCCTCCTACATATCTTCCTCCAATTTGAAAAATATCCACCACCATTGGACTTATACACTTAATGGTAAGGTTCTTGGGAGTGTTATCAAACAAAGAGATCTTGGAATGTGGGTTCATAGTTCATTGAAAGTGGAGTTGCAGGTAGATAGGATAGTGAAGAAGGCATTTAGTATGCTTGCCTTAGTTGGTCAATGCATTGAGTACAGGCCTTGGGAGGTTATGTTGAGTCTGTACGGGACACTGGTGAAGCTACTTTTAGAATATTGTGTGTAATTCTGATCTCCCTGCTGTAGGAAGGATGTTGTGAAACTTGTAAATCTTTTCTGAACTCTTTCAAGGATGTTGCCAGGGTCTGGAGGGTTTGAGCTATAGAGAGAAGCTGAACAGACTGGGGCTATTTTCCCCAGAGCATTGGAGGCTGAGGGATGACCTTAAAGAGGTTTATAAACTCATGAGGGGTGTGGATAGCGTAAATAGACAAAGTCTTTTCCCTGGGGTGGGGGAGTCCAAAACTAGAGGGCATAGGTTTAAGGTGAGAGGGGAAAGATTTTAAAAGGACCTAAGGGGCAACATTTTCACGGAGGGTGGTGCATGCATGGAATGAGCGGCCAGATGAAATAGTAGAGATTTGTTCAATTACAACATTTAAAAGGTGTCTGGATGGGTATATGAATAGAAAGGGTTTAGAGGGATATGGGCCAAAAACTGGTAAATAGGACTCAATAAATTTAGGATGTCTGATCGTCGTAATCGAGTTGGACTGAAGGGTCTACTTGCATGCTGTACATCTGAGTCTATTCACTACTTCGTGTCACATTGCTAAGTTTGTGTTCATGTTGACACTGTACTTTTTACTCGATAGATTTCAACATTACTGAGAAGTCTAATACGTGGTATCTTTTCAAAAGTGATTTGCTGTTACTTTTAGATCTGTAGAATCATTAATTATCTTTGGCATACAGGGAGATCATTTGGTCTTGATCCCTGTGCTGTTGCAAGCCTATTTCCCTCAAGTGCCCAACCCAATTTCCCAATTGTTTGTTTTCTACAAATTTCGTGGGCAGCAAGTGCTGAATCATTCCAACTCATTACATAAAAAATGCTCCTGCATCTTTTTCCCAAAATTTTAAATCTATATCTCCTTGTCCTCATACCGTCAAAGAGAAACAAATTTTCCTGTCCATCTTATTTGAGCCTATCCACCTTGTCCATCTCAGTCATATCTTCCCTCAATCTTTGCTCCAACATAAAAAAACAACCCCAACATTTCTAACCCAGTCTTGTGACTAAAATCTCCCAACCCTGTGGAAGCATTCTCTCTGCACCCTCTCAAGGATCTATATATCTCTCCTAAATATGCTGACCAGACTGAACACAGTACTCCAATTAGGGTCTAACCAGTTAGAGACAAAAAAAAACTGCAGATGCTGTTATCCAAGGAGAAGTTATCCAAGTAATAGTTTAAGGAACATTGAGGGAATGAGTTTCTGGTATTCTCATGAAAATTTCTTTGATAATGTTTCCAGTCCAACGAGGATGCGGGATCTGATTCTGAGGAATAAGATAGACTAAGTGAATCAATTTCAATGTGAGAATATTTAAAGAACTGTGGGTATTACCCTTCTTTAGGTACCCAAAACATTGACTACTCCTTTCCTCCAGATGCTGCCTGGTCTGCTGTCTTTTCCAGCCTCCTGTTTGTATACCCAGGGCCTAACCAGAGCTTTATTCTGCTTTAATCATTTCAAAAAGCTTCTCCACTACATAGTTTAAACTGACTGGTCTACAGATGCTGGATTTATCCCTACAACTTTGCAGGAACTTATCTCAAGCGTAGATAAACCATCATGACTTTGTTCTATTTCAGTTCTGTCTGTCAATATTTGGTTCCACTTTATCTGGAACAAATCCATTCTCTACTAAAAGTGGTTCTTCTCCAACTGCGTATGTTTACTTTCAATTACCCTTTGTCCTTTCCTGGCTACTCTAAACCATTTAATTGTACAACCACAGTTCTTTAAATATTCTCACATTGAAATTGA